CCCTCTAGTCTTACACTGCTAAATTAGGGACGGCTAGCGCAGATAGCCCTCGTGTAGCTTTGCGCGAAATTCAAAAACAAACAAACAGTAGAAAGAACACAAAGAAAGCTAATTTGATATTCATAATCTTTGTATGTGAAGACCGTTATTTATCTTTCTTCAAAAAACAGTTTCAAACATTAAGATTAATTACTTGAAATTAAATCACCTAACAAATCTATTAAGAAATATACAGAAATTCAAGTAACAAAACCAGTTAAATAGAGCTAAAATACAATAAAGTAAATAAATTAGCCATATTTTTAGGGTAGTTCTTAAATTGTCATAACTCATAAAACTGCCATGTAAGTAGTTATCCTTTCTCGGTGGGACAGTGGTAAGTCTACGGACTTCCAACAGTAAAATCCGGAGTTCGATTTCCCGCGGTGGCCACATCAGAGAGCCCGATGTGGCTTTGTTCTAAAACAAACAGCAGTAAATAGTCAGCACTGTATTTCAGTTACTGAATTTGAAAGTATGTCAAGTATGTATGAACATAGTATGATTTGTGTTCGCAAGGTAATCTATAGTAAGTACTTTCCTCTGAAAACACATTTAATTGACTAAAGTGGTTATACGTGTGATTCCTAAAGTGATGTTTCTACTCTAAAAATCATGGAATCGTACCACACAAACTGAAGTTTCCCGTCTATTCCACCCTGTGTCTTAATAGACTGAACCAGCCTATAGTAAGAACATGCACACCGCATCAGCTAGTGTGGCGATTGGCAGTCAGGGAAGACAGTCACAGAGTCGCTATTTCGCTAAGATTTAGATTTTTTTACAGTTGTTTAGCGTTTAATATAGATTTTAGACAACAATTCACGACAAATAATATTTTATATTCCAACTAACTGATGTCTCGGATTGGAGTTTTGTGATACGATGGTTTACATACATATTATATCACACATTAAATGGTTGAGGTGTTATGCGGGTTTGTTTGGACAATTTAGTCTTCTCTTCTTGGGATTTTTGTTTGTGTTATTCATTCCTCCAAACTCAGGTAAGAATATCAGGGACTTATAGTATTTTTAACTATGTCTTATTATTCTTATTTTAATAATCCAGTGAAGGATAAGAAAATAACATATAGAAATGATGAAAACGTTAGATCTATTGAAATAACATTTCTGTGTAGAGCTAAAATATGAAAATAATTCTCAAACAACCAGACATACTTTTATAACATTTCTAGAATAATATTAAACGTGGTCACTATGAAGTTTCTGAAGAATGGATAACTAAGCATGCTCCAATTGTTTAGTATTGCTTTATTTCCTTTCTTCATGGTTCATATATTGAATAATGGTTGCATGGTTGTTTTAGAGCAAAGCCACTTGGAGCTTTGTGTTGTGTCCACCGCGGGAAATCAAACCCTGTATTTTAGCGTTTCAAGTTCGTAAACTAATCGCTGTCCGTATTGAATAAGCATTATAGCAACCACAGAAACAAACACCATAGTTCAAGGTAAGCACAACTGTGTGTCTAAAAAATTATAATTCTTGACACTGAAAATGTCTTTGTATCGAAATTTATAGAGAAACTACTTTAAAATCTTTATCACACAACACTGTAATTCCTAACAATAATTAGTATACTCGCCACTGTTACCTGTAAATATGAGAAACAGTTAGAGTTCATAATTAATAGTTTCTTATGTATTAAAAACATATCAACTGTACATATGTCTGTAGTTCTATCTCTGTCTCGACTATCCGAAATTAGTGAGAGCACTTTTGTACGGGATGAATATAATTCTATATTAAATTGATCATTAAATTAATGCAATCCGTTTTCGCAACAGCCAGAAGGTAGCTTCATAATCAATGTATATTATTACATTTATGATAATCCGAGGGACAAAATCTGATGATTGGATATAAAACAATAACTATTAAAATGACGTATTTAGAACAAATTTGAAATTGTTATTACAAATTCACTAGGGTTGATGCAATAAAAATAATTCAGAGCTTGCTCAAAATCAGTCATATTAACTCTTCGATTAACCACAACTTTTATTTTGAAAGAGCTAATGTACTTCCTAGTGATAGATTAACTTTTATAGAATAATTTAAAGACTTTATTCAATCACGATTTCCATGAAAGAGATGACAACCTTGGGAAGTGAGATAATCGGTAAGACTATACGGGTTTCGATACCCGTGGTGGAAAGAGCAAAGATAGCTCATTGTGTAGCTTTGTGTTTAACTTCAAAGAAACATTCATTTTTATTAATATGTTTCATATAATATTGAAGCGAGATATCTAGGAGTCTGTCTGATAGGTTTGACATGTTTGAATAGTTGATCATGGAACTTTCATTAAAATATAGTTTTGTGTTTGCTGTAGCTTGTTATGTGCGTTTCTTTATACATTGATCTATGCTATACAGACATGTTCTGCAACTGGACTTATGTATTAGGCCGTCAAGAAATTAATGTCGCTTTTTTTTGGAAAAAAAAACTCGATCAACTTATATATCAAA